TATTTATATAAAAAAAGAGCATCACAGAGAGGAGATGAAGAGAGCTACCACTTATATGTCATTTTCAATACAATATAAATTTTCTTATATTAAGATAATTTTATTTTTAGATTATTAGAATTTTATAGCTGTTTTATTGTTTTTATGTATTTACTTTTAAATAAAAATATTTTATATTTTTTATTAATATAATAAATTATTATTTTTTATTAATTTATAAATAGTTAGAATTATATTTCAAAAATATTAATATTTATGTGATATAAATTTGCCCCACAAATAAAATTTCTTAGGTCCGTCACTGTGTCAGAGTCAGGCCGTACGTGCAGGGTTGAGGTTTAAACAGAAAGCGACATTATATTAGAGTTTTTTGTATACATACTTTTGTGGGAATATCTTTGGGCAGTGCTCCAAGTAAAAGGGCTTGATATCTTTGGCAGAAAAAAGTGGTCGCTTCTTTTCATTTGGAGCACCTAGCATGGCGGTGACGAGACCACCCGTGCTGGTTCCTGCAATCACGTCAAAGTAATCTGCGAGCCTTGCTTCTTCACCGTCCAGCTCCTACATTCACGTCCCGATCGTTATAATTGATAGGTTTCATTTATCCATCAACTATCAATTTCATAGCATTAATATGTGTAGAAAGTTCATATATTTGCTATGAACATTAATTATGCGTGTATGCATTGTCATTAAAACAAATTTTTTTTAATATAATACAAAAATTGTTGTGCTGCGACAAAATATGATATTCTTGCTTGAAAGACCATGCACGCATGCAAGAGACATCACATCAAGCGAGCGCGTTCCATATAGATTTATATATACCTGGAGTTGAGATTCGAGGAATTCGAGAATGGTAGCGGGAATGATGCCCCTAATACCACCTCCATCGATGCTGAGAATGGTGACTAGGTTTCCATAGGTTGGGGGTTGAATTTGAAGAAGGGACGACTTTGTTCTCTGCATAATTATGGATCACTGCTGGGAAAATGGAAAGCAAGTGCGAGCTTATACCGAAATGGATGCTAAAGAAAATGTGGGAGCTTGCAAGCTGCAGATGGTAAGGCAGTTAGATGTAAGTTTTTGCTCAAGACAAGTCTCGAAAAGGAGTTAAATTTACCAAAGGAAAAGACTCAGGTTTTTTGTCATTCGGTTTCCTCCACTCAACGTCCTATTTATCGTGGCACATGCGAGGTGCGATACAATCGTGTAAAGGTTCGAATTAAGAGGAGAAATGTTGAGGGACATACTTTTCAACGAGGTGGTGAGACTGAGAAGAACGGGAATGGTATGAGTATGGAATGTGTCAAATATGCACAGACCAGTCCTTTGAGAATTGAGATGCATATCCGATCACATCAAGTCCCGGGCGTTGAATATTATTCTCATGCTCGAATAGCGCTTTTTTTTAAAAAAAAAAAATTATTTGCAGTGCTTTGCCGTTAGTTGTGGAGCACCAACAGACGACTATACGGCTGCGTCGTAGATTAGATTAGTGATTAAGGATGGCAACAAGTTTCCTCCGAGGCCAGGTTTTAGTTTGCTCCGCAAGCAATAATTCTCATCCAATAGGATAGTCCCCACGCGCCTGTGCTCTCGTTGGCCCAAAAAAAAAAAAAACAACAAAACAAAACAAAAACAAAATAAAAGACGCCCTGTCTGTTTTTTTTTTTCCTTTCGTACTTCTTTATGAAGTGTTTGATATCCTATATTAATAAATGAGATTTCTTTAAACTATTTTTTAGAAGATAAAAAATTCTTCTCGATTAGTGATATGTTAATGGAAGGAAATTTTTGCTTCTTTAAAAAATAATTGATAAAAAAAATACTCCATTTATTAGTACTCTTTGAAAGAAAGAATAGTAGGCAAATGCATTATAACCCTAATAATAATAACAGTAATATTTTTAAATAAATTATAAAATATGACCTCATAAGAACATTAATAATGATTAAGTCCTTTATCTTTTAGGTCATTTTCTATAGCTTTTTTGTCAATTAATTGTCTTTCTTTAAAATATTGTACCATCCAAATTAGTATTTTGATAGTTTGCAAGTTTGTATTAACCTCCAAATAAATGGATAAAATTAATATTTTTTTTGAATTTGTAACTTATTTTTTAATTTTAAAATTGGAAACATGTAGCATCATATGAAAATATCAATTAAGAATAAGGGACACTTCAATTATAAATATCTATTAATTTGACTGTTAGTTCACTAAAAAATTTATAGAGAATGACCTAGAAAATTTAAGATCATTATTAATCAATATTAAATTTTTTAAAAGATCATTTTCTTAAAAAATATTAAATATTTTAATAATTATTATTATATTTTATTTTAGCAAAACTTTAAGATATTCAATACTCCTAAAAAAAGAGTTCAACGATAAATTAATACTAAAAGATATGTTACATCAATATAGCAAAGTTAATAGATTATGAATGAAAGAAGATTTTTGCTCCTCTGTAAAATAGTTTAAAAGAAAAATATCTCATTCGTTAGTATAAGATACCCATCGAAATGTACTTTAACCAACTCTTGTTATTGGTTTGGCTGTGTCTAACATAGCATGACGTGGAGTAATTTTTACATGCTGTACAACACTATTTTCGTTAATACTAGCGCGATTGCTTTTATCCTATAATGTCATATTTTTTGCACTATATGATGTCAATGAATGGATGAATTAGTTTTTTGCACTGCGATGTAAATGAATGGCATGGATGAAATAGTTTTTTTAATAAGGAATTAGGAACGGATGAATTAATTTACAGCAACGCGTTTTATGCAAAAGTTACGTGTAATATTAACTTTAATTTCCTCTTAACATTAGTCTCATGTGGTTTTGCATTTGTGTATTTACGTTTTTAAAATTCATTAATTTATTTATAAATATATTCCTATAACTGAAACTATATATAGTAGGTCAATTTCGTGAAACTGGTGTTAAAATTTAATTTAGTCGACGGTGGCTAAGCATCAGTCATGGGGCTATAATTAATTCCAATTACTATAATGATGACTTCCCCTTCCAGTTTTTTTAAATAATTAATATTCAATTGATCCACCAAGTGATCGCTAATGCCCAAACCCAAAAGTTGAATGAGAGAAAAGCACAGGAGAGCAGAGAGAAGGAATGACAATGCGATTTTGGAGTTTTTTTTTTTTTTTTTTCCGGCGGGGGGTCATTGATTCAATTCGTCTCAGAGATGTAAAGGTGTTTCCGCGGAGCTGTGCGATTTGAATGATTGAATCGGCAGCCAAGTATTATATGTGATATGGTGAGCAACTTTATTGGAATGAATTGATTTTCACCCTCCATATATTTTAATTTCGAGACGTGTGTGTGGTTGAATTGGCTTAAGGCAGCGTATTGGATGAAAAGTTTCGCCTTTATAGATGAACTCTTTCCTGACTATGCAACCGTACTATATACTATATACTTAATATTATACTGTTTTCACGTGGTCAGAACATTATTCTGTCATTAATTAATAATGGCCGTTGTTCCGGCATGGACCTCCCAATTGGAGCCCTGCACTTGACCAAGTTCATGGGAGTGTAGAATTGATCTTCAATTCTTAATATTGTAGCGGCTGCATAAACTTCTTTAACTGAGCAATAAACGCCAATCTTGACTTCCTATCGATGGCAATTTTTTGTTTATTCCATTCTTCCACTAGGTTGTCATCATTAGCATCACCAAGGTTTTTTGGGGAGGGGCTCAAAAGCTGAAAGAGAGAAGACCTGAGGAATATGGATCGATAGAGGATGAATGATTCATAATAAGCGTTTAATTTAGTCATTCATTTCGGGAATGATAGATGATTATGTGAGAACCTGTGTGGTAGCTTGTGCAACAATGAATAATAGCGAACTGGTGAATCGGAGTGGTCTGAAAAATCTCCCCTTCAATCCTATATACACAAGTCCTCTTCTAGAAGCAATTTATTATCCTTCTCATAATTAAGTCACCTTACACAAAAAGTTGGATCATTAATTACTTTCTTTTAATTTTATCCTTTCACAATTTTTGATGAGTAAAATGTTATATAAAATAAAAATAAAGATAATACATTTAACAAGAGCAAATAGAAATAATTGATTTTGGTGAGATAATTATAAATAATTTATAAATAAGACCTGAGGATAATTAAGCTTTTGACCGTTGATCAATTTCTGCATTCTGGGTTATCCCACATGTCATTTGTCATGTAAACCAGCCAGTCTACTTAGCACTACAAAACCCACATGTAATATCAGCGTAATCATCACCAGATGCATGACTCGTATCAACCAGTCAGTTTGCACAGCAATACAGAGTCAGGAATTAAATATCATTGGATATGCCAAATAAAAGGGCATGTTTGGTTTCTGTTTTTAAAAACACTTCTTTTATTTTTAAAAATAAAAAGATTAAAAAATTTGTTTGGATGAGTATTTTAAATCTAATTATTTTCAAAACCATTTTCATTTTTGTTTTTAGAAATAAATAATAGAAACATTTTAAAGCTGTTTTTCATTTAGTTACCTAAATTGATAATTATCATAAGCCACCACTATTAATTGCCAATGATATCACTCTCAACCAATTTTTTAATTTTAAAACTGTTTTTAAATTAACACAACTAAGCAAATTTAATTTTTGTTTTGTTTTAAAAAATTATTTTAAAAATTGTATTATGAATTTTTTTAAAAAATGAAAATAAAAACCAAACTGGCTCTAAATCAATTGATCAATGGCCAAGATCAATGAAGATATAGAACATCGATCCATACGTGCTTAATGCATTACAATGCTTGAATTACTCCATGTTGTGATTTATGAAGCAGCAGTGAGCGGATGATGTTTTAAATTGCCTCTATATATAACTATATATATTGAATACCATGTTTAACCATGTTCTTCAATTAATCGGAATGATCTCAAACCTTCTATCCTTACACCAAAAAAATGCATTTCTTTAAAATTATTTTCTTTCTTTTGGTACTAATTAATTAACTTCCCCTCGCACTGGCCCAAACAAAACGAAACAAGAAAGAATGGAAGCTCGTTTCAAATCAATCTTAATTTTATCATATCTCCCTTCTCTAGATTATAGAAAAAAAAAGTAAATTTCATGACTCAGAGAAAATACTCATAAATATTTCCTAATAGAGCATCTATTACAATCAATGTAATAGAACTTGAACCCTCACACACTTTTATAGGCTGGTAACTAAATGACTTTTATTGACAAACAAATAATTTATACTCTCTGTTAGTGTTATCAAATACGGAAAAAAAAATCAATTCATACAATTTAGGAAAATCCGTTAAGTATAATAATTATATTTGATGAAATTAAAAAAATTGACCTAAATTATCCCTATAATTAATGAATCAACAAATTTGTCCCCTATAAAAATAAACATTAATTTTATGAGGAACATTTTGGAAAATGTGTCATAAATGCTTTTAAAAATTTGTAGTCTTGATTATAAATAAAAATAAGGCTAGAATATACTTTTAGTCCTCTAACTTTATATGAAATTTTAATTTAATCCTTTAATTTTGCAAAGTATCTTTTTAATTTTTTAACTTTAATATCATTAGGATGATTTTGGTAGTGAAGGAGGAGGTGTTTTAAAGGTCAAAGGTTTTTTTTGAAATTTTGGTAAAAGAGAGGCTTGATAATCTCGAGGCTTTTGATAAAGAAGTGAATTTTACATGAGTCCTTTAAAATGAAGTGCTATTCTCTTGATTATAAATACTTGCAAAAGCATTTTCATTCAATAAATGTTCGAAAAATATGATATGTTGAATAGTGATAATGATATCAACCTCAAACATACATGTATTGCTTCGGGTGAATCATTATTATTTTGAAAAAATTAAACTTAATATATTAACATTTAAAAATATTTTATCAATATTTAAAAGTTCAATGTAAAAATTTATTAGGATAAAACTAACAATATTAGAGTTAAATGACTAAAAAGATATTCTACAAAACTAACATTAAAATGAAACATTGTGTAAAATTAAAAGATTGAATGTATACTTTAATCTAGAAAGAAAAAGATATACGGTAGTTTCTCTTGCATATTTCAAAACAGAAAGAATATATATGCCTGAAATTGAGGATTATATATGATCAATTTCATCAAAACTCCACGAACCCACATGAACATGCAAGCGTCTTGGAGATGAGGGCGGATGGGAAAGGTTCAGAGAAGAAAGCTTTTAGGCAAGAGGGCGTGTGACTAAAGAATGACGAGGCCATATATGATATATTCAAAATAGAAAACGATAAGATTTGATTTACACGTACCAAGATGATGCCGCCTAACTCTGATGATTTTTCTTTGTTTCCGGTCAGTCATCTTTTGATTACCTTTCTTTAATTGAATCAAGACTTCAATTGCTTTACGATTAACATTGATATGAGGATATAATTATTAATTGATAATAATTGCGATTCAATCTTTGGCCAAGTCGATCGCTGCCCCCATCCCCAAACTTATCATCATTATTAATAAATGAAATAAAGGTCTAAGAGAACTATGTAATTCCAAAAATTCATCAACATTCCGTCTTTTTTATCTTCTCATGTATACATTAATGTTCCGTTTCTGTAATGGAACGAGGAAATTCTTTTTTTTTAAATAAACATTATTTCGATTCCAAACTGTCAATCATTACTGCAATATTCATTACTTATTAATGGATCGGAATAACAGATTCTGATCATCCTAATCATGGCACGAGGGCATTCATCATTGATAAAATAACTTTCAAGGTTCGGCCTAGCCGGATGCCTCCGGAGTTTCATTTACGTACCATCATGATTATTATAATTGGGGCATGAAAATCATGTTGGTAACTTTTGGTGTTATTCAAAGTTGGTTTTTTGGACCATATGAGCAACCAATACAAGTTTTTTCGAGCGCTTCAAGACATTATTATTAGAAAATTAACTCTCCCATTTGTGCGTGCATCTAAACCGCAAAGATATTAAATTAAAACGGGAGCATGGATAAGAATCCACAAATAAACAAATACTCTGTCTCTCTCTCTCACACACGCACTCACTCACTCACATTTAATCTTAAAAAATAGAAACATGGCCATTTATATTTGACTTCGTCTCAGGGATAATTAGAACCCACGATGAACAGATGCCTTTTTCCCCCCGGGCGGGAGGCTGGAAAAAAGATATTTATGTCGTTGATTGAGATAGTTCAAAGGTCTAAATTAATGGAAATAATTACATATTGACTAAATAGGCTTCTTTAATTCGAAGAGTCTTCCTTCAAGCTGCATGATTAAGTGTGGCTTGATAAATTAAAAAGTTAAAGTTGAGTTCCATGACAGTTACTGTAGATACTCAAGCAAAAATTGCGCTCGATCCAAGGTTGGTTTCGTTTTAGCTCTCCCTCTAGTTTGACTTGGTAGATAGAGTGATCCGTAAAGATGCACAGCTGATTGCTACTTGCAAGTCATGAAAATAATGACTATTCTTAATCTATTTCTGTTTTGTTTGTTTTTTTTATTTTCATGTTGGTTCATTTGCATCATGAAAATAGCTACAGCTATTTTAATTTGCTTGTATTGTTTTGGTTCATTGTCAACGTCAAACCATCGAATATTCCATATATGATCTTACCATTCATTATAATTTTCAACACTGCCAAATATATTAGGTATATATTTCATTTCAAAGATGGGCTTGACATTTTAGTATATATATATATATATATATCTATTTATGTATATCTCTCATCTCGTCAATATTACGGATATATTCATTCATATATATATATATATATATTAAAATTAGTGATTTAATTGTAACCAGTTTTTCATGATGGTATCCGTACGTGAGTTTGATTTTTTTCTCAGGATTCATCAGGTCATGACTGAGACCCTATAGCTGGTAATTTGCAAGAACGTTCGCATCATAGAATTTGTAATTAACAATGTCAACGGGCACAACACGAATCTACTAATTATACACAGCGATCTCGTGATCAGCTGAATTTATTTTAACCTGGAAACATGTTTTACGCCTACAGCATCATTGGACTGCAGCTTGTTCGACGAACTTGGTGCTGCTACAGGTACATTTGTTTAACAACACAAACATCATATCACACGACAACACACAGATGAATCACGTTTGCTGATTGTTTCTTGGATCTAAGCTTGCCCTTCTGCTCTTGATTTACGAAGCCACCTCTCCTCAGATAGTTGTTTCGCAAACCTACAACAAATTCAATCATACGGTTGGTTGCCCATTTCTCATCTTTAATATTTTTTATAATAACACAACTCACTTAAAATTTGCATTGTGTGCGTAAAATAACGAAAGATGTAGATAAATTTGTAATTTTTTGGGGGGCATGTGTACACGTTTATTACCTTTTGAGGGCCTCGGCATTAGTCTCGTGGTTAGCAACTTCGAAAACTCCGGTTTGCAAGTTAACCCTAGAAACTGGTTTGTTCAATAAATCTTCACCAACTTTGACGAGACCCTTCAAATTCTCGTCGGTGGTCACATCTACAGAAGACAAGTCGCCAGTTAAAGTATCATCCTGCAAATTTGGTTCGACAAACAGCAGAGTTGGCGAGCAATGAGTAATTCATTAATCTGAGTTGCTCAGCAGTAACTAACAAACTAGTTAATATTATAAGAACCTGGATGCGGAGATAGTTTTTCTCGGAGTAGAGAGCTCGGAAAACAGAGGCAAGGTGGAAGTCAACCATGTCAGCACTAGCTTGGCCAAAACAGTCAATCAAGGGGTTAGAACCGTTGCTGGATAGCCAGCTCAGGATACCCCATTCAGCAGCCTCCTCAGCAGAGTATCGATACTCCTGCTTGTGATCCCCAGTTCCTAACGATATCACCAGAAACCTGTCGTATTGCATCGCTGATACGCCGAACTCTGTCCTCTCCTCTGCTCTTATTCTGTTTGTCACTTCTGCCATCGCTACCAGAGTCTGCAACCACATCGTTAACTCGCTCAATTATCCGCCAAGGCCGCCTTGTGTTAGTTTTCGACAACTACTGATCTTTTGTTTAATTCGATTGTCTTCCAGTTTTAATTTATTTAACTTCTATTAAGAAAAATATTTTAATTACCACCCACCGGGTTATTTGCAGCAACGCCCCCGTCAATAAGGTTAAATTCCCTGACCACTTTTCCTTCATCGTCCTTGGTCTCAAAATAGTGAGCTGGAAGATACGTGGGTGCCGCGGATGTCCCGATGCATATGTCTGACATCAAGGCATCTAATTCCGGCCTTCTCTTCAGCTGTTCCACAAGTACAGGACAAACTTACTTGAAGATATATATATATATATATATATATATATGGATGTATTATAACGTTAGGTGCGCGAGAGAATTAAAAGGTCGGACCTTGAAGTTGGAAAAAATGGTGGGTTGAACGAGCTTGATGTCAAATGTGGGGATGACCACATTTGTCAGTGTCTGGTGCAATTTTGTGTCTTTCAGTTTGTCTCTAAGAAGGCCGTGCAAATACTTGCCGTCATACTTTGGTCCTGACAGCGTTTTGCCGAGCTTCACCACGTCGGAGAGAAAGTGACTGCAAATTCGACGGTAGCATTTATAAACTAGCAGGGATATTTCTTCGCTGAATGTAATAGCAATTGGGTTTAGTTGGAGTTAACGATGATAAAGGAATTAATACTGACGTATGCTGCGGGAAGATTTTTGGGCCGTGCTCAAGATAGAAGTCCTTGATTTCCTTGGCGGCGTACAAGGGTCGATTCTTTTCGTTGGGGGCAGTCACCATTGCAGTCAATAAGCCCCCAGTACTGGTTCCTGCGATTACATCAAAATAATCCACCAATCTTGCATCCTCACCATCCAGCTTCTGCATTAACACAATATGACCAAAGCTACGCTAGTAAGCGTTCCCGCACGTCTTTTACACACACACACACACACACACACGAATTGAATGGTATGGTTAATTTGGACATGCCTGGAGCTCTGATTCAAGAAAAGCCAGGATAATTCCGGGAATAATTCCCCTAATGCCACCGCCATCAATGCTAAGCACGGTGACTAGGTTTCCGCTGCTTGCAGGTACGTCGGCCTTTGTGGCTTCCATCGAGCTCGAGAGGCTACGAGAGGAGAGAAAACAAATCAAAGAATAGACTTGGAAAATATACGCTCTAATGTAAGGAGAAAACACAGTTTTCTGTGGCTTGGATCGACCAGTTCCTACCACTATTTTATAGGCGCTCGATGTATGGTAAAACTATACATAATGCTCCGTTTTAATTATTACCTGGATTTTTTTGCGTTGATGACAAGTGAACTTTTAAATTCAATAGAGATTATCTTCGCGTACGAGGCGGCAATCCTGTTTACCTATTTCAATCGAGAATTGTGTGGGTTATGTAACTTTGGGAGAAAAAAAATTTATTCCATTGCTCAATATCCTGAAAAATTTAAAAATATTACTACCTCTTATCTAGACAAATCCAAACTTTCACTATGTGAAATTATTATTACCAATTATAGCCTCATGAGTATCTTGAGAGTTTTTAACATATTTATTTAAAGTAACTACATATTTTTGAACTCAAACTTGAGATCAAGATCAGCTAATTTAACTCTCTTTTATTATAAGTTGATCCAAGCATCCCTTGCTACTTTGGAAAAAAAATTATATTTTATATTCACAACACTCTTTTTTAAATTTTTATGATTAAATATGGACCTCAACTAAAACTTTATTCCAAAAATTATTGGGAAAAGCACCCATTAAAAAAAAGAGAGTGCATGATGTTTAAATATTTTATTGAAAGGACCTCATTAAAAATCTTAATAGGGTGTTGTAAAATAACTATTATTAAAATTAATTTTGTGTAATAATTAATATAAATGTAAACGTAAATTCTCCCTTGAATGTACTAAATATAACATTTAATTAATTTAAAATATTTTAATTAATTATTTAATAAAATAAGGGTGTAATTAACAAAACATGTAACACCTACCCCAATACCATTTATTTTGAATACTAAATAAGATTTTTAAAAAACGATTGATATTATGATTATTAAAGAACATATGTATGGTTGGGGAGAGGGCGAGATGGCGGATGGGAGGAGGTGGATTCACGATTTCGCCATTATAATTACCGTCCATTATTGTGGTCTTGCATGCATGATTATAAGCTTATTCATTAGTGAAAAGCGTGTAACAATAATGAAGAACATCGCACGACATTTGTTATTACCAGAGTTCGAACACGTTGGCTTTTCAATAATGACATCCACTGAACATGAAATTACAATGCGGATCTTCTTTGTCTTTTTTGTTGTTTTTGCTTTCCATTTGCTATTCTTTATCTTGTCCATTGTGCTCCGAATTCGGAGACTCCACGTGATTTTTTTTTTTTTTGACCAAAAGACTCCACGTGATTTCAAACTAGAATAATTTACAGAATATTTTTATTTTATTGGTATAATTGAGGAGTATAATTTTAGATGAAGAAGAGACGAGACTCGGCCTTGGCTTGCTGCCTAGTGACCATCAGAAAGACAAAACTTGTTTGGATTATAATTCACCCTCGCTTCATACAATCCACTTGGGATTTAATTAATAAATTTGAACAGTGATTATTAAGATTATGCCCCCGCAGCCCACCTGTCTACCGGGCCCCCACTCTCTCCATCGTACATGGCACGATGTTATGATATCGGTGCTCTCTATTTATGGGAGGATAATATAAAAGATGAATGCGCCGGTCTATCAGTATTTATATTTATATATTTTATAAATCCTAAATTTATACTTCCTCCATTTATGCTACTTTCAAGAAAAAAAACTTGTTTTTATTTTCATATTGTTCTATAATTTTAGAACGATATCAATTACTGCTTTTCCGATATTTACGTTAATACTCTTAATTATTTTACATCAGAGCCATTATTTTTCAAATGTCCAGGACTTTTAACAGGGACGTGCTATTTGAAAAGTACGTAAGTATTTTTAACTTATTAATGGATTTTCTTGATCTTTATATAAAATCTTTAAACTTCATACGAAAGAAAAAGAAAACTGTAAACATTCATATGTCATTTTGTGGGATACGCAACACCCCGTGTAATTTAATGAGTTATTCCTTCTTCAAATTAATTCACGTGTGATATGTGTGTGTGTGTGTGTGGGATAGAGCGGAAAGAAAAATACAAGAAGAATAAAGCCAAACTATGTAATGTCGTCATCCTGCAACATGTTCATGGCTGGATCACCAGGGACCATGTGTAAAGCTAAAGGTAAATCAAGAGCTCTCTTTGCGAAGAGATCTGCAGCTACGTTCTCACTTCTATCCACATGAGCCAGCAAGACCTGCCAATCACGTTGGAGTCATGTGTGATATATTGAAGTGTGCACATCCCAAGTTTTTTATTCAGCTCACGACTCATGAGTCATTTTGAAAAAATACAGGGAGAATTTCAATTGAGGACCAAGAATGTGAGTTAATTGTTAATAGGATTCAAAAAAATATGAAATTTCAGTTCAATTCAGGAGGATTGAAATAAAAATAATTTTAACGGTAAAAGTACTAAAGTAATATTCACTTGTTAATTTTGTCTTAAATGTTGAATCATTAGTTGTTAATTTTCTTAGTTCACTTTTTAATTTACCAATATGAGTTATAAATTACATGACTCAACCTATCAATAATCATACAAGACTTGAACATCAGTTGTTCAATCAATTTGTCGAACAAACAGTAATGTTAATTATTAATTTGCCAACTTTATTTGTTAATTTACTAACGTCAATTAGCAAATTAATAACTGATATTGCTGCTTGTTTGAAAACTAATTGAACAAGTCAAATTTATGTAATTTACAATTCATATTAGTAAATTAATAAATGAAATAAGAAAATTAACAATTAATAATTTTGCATCCCAGACACAATTAACAAATGAAGGGCATTTTGATTTTTTCACTGTTGAAATTATTCTCATTTCAATCCTCCTGGGATTGAACTGAAGTTTCATATTTTTTTGGGACATGTAAATAATTATGTCACATCATTGGTCCTTAATTGAAATTTTTCCAAAAATATTAAATATTTGATGGCTATTATAATGTCAAAACCATGTTAATGCGTGATTTGACTGTAATTACCATTTTTTTACAAGTCCAAGATTTAAACTACGCAGGAAAAAAAATCATCCGCTGTACCAGTTAATCTAAAGATCTCTGCATTTTATAAAAAAAGAAAAGGAAAGAATTGTTAAAAACTCTTGTTGCTAGCATCAATGCATGTATATAATTAGTAAGTTTGCGTTAGGATGTAGTTTGAGTGTACGTGGATTTTAGTCAATGTGAACAATTTCACATCTAATAAAATTGAGCTCAATAATTCCTTAAGAGCAATTTTGGCATGGTTGTCGAAGCTCTCAAAGATTAAGTGAAATTCTCTTATAAAATGAACAGGGTAACAAAACATTAAAAATTTTGAATAACCTAGGAGAAGTATAAGAGAAAGGAAAATGAGAGGAGAGTGTTCCAAGACTAAGTATATAATGCACTAGAACATGAGACAACTACTACCTTTTATAAGCAAAAATCTCATATACATTGGACAATAAAACACTAATCAATGACATCTTAATACAAGTAAACAATGGTTTTGAATGGTAATGAGATTGAATATAAAATAAATAAACTTTAAAAGTAATTAATACTTATAATCAAAATGAAAACTACTTTTGAAATATAATTAAATAATTAAGATATCCAACAATCCCTCACATATTTCAAAAAGAAATAAATTTTGGAAAAATATTGCCCAGTGTCACTGTTTCTATAAACTTATTTACTTATTCAAGTTCACACTTTAGTGTATATGCCTACCAAGGCCTCTATACACTTGAGCAATATAGGATTTTACTTTTTGACACACATACATACAATATCTCTAGTTCACACATGTCAAAGGAAATGTTATCATTTAAATTATTCACATGAAATATAATCATTTCAAATTTAATATGTTTTAAATTATGAACTAGACCCAGACAAATACTTAGTATACAAAGAAGTGAGTGAAGCACGTTTCTATAAACCAACAACTTTTGAGCATATATTAGAGACCTTATCAATCATATTATAGCCCACAATTCTTGCTATTAACAGAGGTTTTATGCTTTGACGATCGTGCATGTGCTTGATATTTTGACAAATGTTTTATAGATTTCACTACAATTTTGTAAGAGCGGCCTCACTTCACATTAGTCTAGGTGTTTTTATTGAATGTATCTACAATGAATACACATTCCATAAGGAATATGAAATTTTTAAGAGCTTTGATTAGCCTTGCCAACAATGTATTTTAGCAGCTTCTTGTACACCATGAGAAGAGGGGTAAAGTAATTTTAATGCCAATAGAACTAACAAATAACTTATTCTTGCCCATATGAACTATGGGATCACCAATTATAAAGGTTGGGTTACCATTACTGTTAGTTTTAAATTGACTTAAGTCTTATTTCCCTCAATATTTCTGTAATTTTTTCCTTTTTCAAGAGCTTAGTTAACAAATCAGGTATATATTTATACCTAATTTTACATATTCGATTGAGATAATTCCATCTTTTAATAACTACCTTACAATATTATGTATGTCTCAATCGAATATGTTTACACTTGTCATTAAAAGTCTTGTATTTAGCCATAACTATTGCTAATTGGCTATTAAAAATCATTGACATGGTCTATATTAGTTTTACTTTCAATATAATATTTGTTAAGAAAATTTTCAACTATTCAGTCTTATTATTAACCAAATCTAGGTTAATAAACTTTAACTCATAATATTTTATTTGGCCATTAGTGAATTTTCCCCATCTGAACATAAAAATTAGTTAATATCATCGTTTTTTTTTTGGTAAGAAAGGGGGCCAAAGCCCAAAAAAAAAGCACTAACAACACCATTGTATTATTTTAACACTCCCTCCATTTCTATATATAAGAAAAAAGTTGTATCACACAATTTAAGAAAGTTAGTTAATCATAATAATTATATTTAAAAATAAAAAAATTAGACTAAAATGCCTTATATTAATCAACATAAGTATGCATTAATTATTTCTCGTTGATATAAATTATGATGGTTGATTTAGAAAATGATTAATAAATGCTAATTGAAATATGTG